GCTTCCAAAAGCACTCCTTCAACCGTTGCCTTGAAGGCGAAGTTCAACACGGCTTCGGACCGTCTTGAAGTCTTCCTCGATGCGTATGCCAATCCCGACAAACTACGCGCTTCCGTTGCGAAAGCAACCTCCTCGAAGCTGGAAGAGCTCCTGCAGATCTTCGTCACCTCCTTTGAAACTTTCTGCGAAACCTTCCCCGCTTCTCCCGACAACAGCCTTCCTGACGAGATCTCCTCAGCATCGAAACGATCCGCTGATCTCATGGCAAGGTCCGACAGATTGTCGATCACCCTCGAGTCCATCTTCCTCGAAAATTCTTCTCAAATCGCCGTTCCGACCAACAAAACGGAGAAGTCAAACAAACTACCGAAAGTTGAACTTCGTTCGTTTGACGAAGTTAATCCTGAAATCTGGTTCGACCAACTCGCTCTCCAGATGCGAGCCGCCAAAATTACTGACGAACACCATCAGTTTGCGACGTTGACAAGATTCCTGGACTCAAACCAATCTTTATTCATCTCTCCAGTCCTGAAATCAAACGAATCATCTCCTTACTCGGCAGCAAAGAAACTTCTTCTTCAACAATACTCACTCTCAAAAATTCAACGTCTCCGGAAGGCAATCTTTGATGAGAAGCGTGGATCCGAAGAAAAAACTTCGCACCTCCTTTCAAGACTGGAGCCCTTGTTGAAAGACACTGGTATTGACGAATTAAAAAAATTCTTGCTTCTTTCTTCCCTGCCCGATACAGTGAAGGAGCACGTTGCAACCAAGTTCGATTCTGCTTCCGTCTCCGATTTTTCAAAAGAATGCGATGCCCTTCTCGACATCCGCCAAAACAAGGAAGCCGGAACGGTCTCAGTCTCAACGGTCTGGAACACAAAAAACATCGGTAAGAATTCAAAAAGAGGAAAAAGATCCGATAACTCTAAAAACAGAAGACCCTGCACGTCACATCTGGCTTACGGATCCCAAGCAAGGACATGCCGTGGCCCTTCGTGCCCAAACTGGTCAGAAGATTTACAGCAGGTAAAATTAACAAACATCAATCCGGGAAACGAAAACGCAGCGACGAAGGAGGGGTACCCGTCGTTGCCAAAATCTTAAGTTGCTCCATTCTTTCACCACCACTACTCGATGACTCCAACAAGTTCCTGATCGACACCGCTTCGCCAATTTCGCTCTACCCAAGGACAGCCATGCCAACAACTTGCGAACGCCCGCAACACTCGGGTCTGGTCCACGCTGGGGGCGGAGACTTGAAATTTTTCGGCAACACGCAAATCAAC